GTTAGGGCCCTCTCTTTTACTTAGTTTGTTTAGCTGTACAGATTTTAGTGGGTTTATTCTATGTTGTATGTTTATATGAGTGAGTATATACCATGCGTGTCTTTTTGCTTCTGGGACAACTCACTCAGGATGATCCTTTCCAGGTCCCACCATTTACCTGCAAATTTCATGATTTCCTTATTTTTCATTGCTGAGTAATACTCCATTGTATAGATGTACTACAGTTTCTGCATCCATTCTTCAGTTGAGGGGCATCTGGGTTGTTTCCAGCTTCTGGCTATTACAAATAAAGCTGCTACAAACATGGTTGAGCAAATGTCCTTTTTGTGTACTTGAGCCTCTTTTGGGTATATGCCTAGGAGTTGTATGGCTGGATCTTGAGGAAGCGCTATTCCTAGTTGTCTGAGAAAGCGCCAGATTGATTTCCAGAGTGGTTGTACAAGTTTACATTCCCACCAGCAGTGGAGAAGGATTCCCCTTTCTCCACAACCTCTCCAGCATGTGTTGTCCCTTGAGTTTTTCATCTTGGCCATTCTGATGGGTGTAAGGTGAAATCTCAGGGTTGTTTTGATTTGCATTTCCCTAATGGCTAATGAGGTTGAGCATTTCTTTAAGTGCTTCTCTGCCATTCGATATTCCTCTACAGAGAATTCTCTCTTTAGCTCTGTTCCCCATTTTTTAAGTGGATTACTTGGTTTGTTGCTTTTCAGCTTGTTTAGTTCTTTATATATATTGGATATGAGTCCTCTGTCAAATAAAGGGTTGGTGAAGATTCTTTCCCAATCTGTAGGCAGTCGCTTTGTTTTGATGATGGTGTCCTTTGCTTTACAGAAGCTTTTCAATTTCATAAGGTCCCATTTATTGATTGTTACTCTTAGAGCCTGTGCTGTTGGTGTTCTGTTCAGGAAGTTTTCTCCTGTACCAATGAGTTCTAGGGTATTCCCCACTTTTTTTTCTAGCCGATTTAATGTGTCTGGTTTTATGTTGAGGCCTTTGATCCACTTGGACTTCAGTTTTGTGCAGGGTGATAAGTATGGATCTATTTTCATTTTTCTACATGTAGACATCCAGTTGGACCAGCACCATTTGTTGAAGATGCTATCTTTTTTCCATTGTATGGTTTTGGCATCTTTGTCAAAAATCAGGTGTCCATAAGTGTGTGGGTTTATTTCTGGGTCTTCTGTTCAGTTCCATTGATCCACCATTCTGTTTCTATGCCAGTACCATGCAGTTTTTATAACTGTTGCTCTATAGTACAGCTTGAGATCAGGGATGGAGATACCTCCAGAAGATCTTTTATTGTAGAGGATTATTTTAGCAATTCTCAGTTTCTTGTTATTCCATACAAAGTTGAGAATTATTCTTTCCAGGTCTGTAAAGAATTGTGTTGGCAATTTGATGGGAATTGCATTAAATCTGTAGATTGCTTTTGTAAGATGGCCATTTTTACTATGTTAATCCTGCCAAGCCATGAGCATGGGAGATATTTCCATCTTCTCATATCTTCCTCTAATTCTTTCTTCAGAGACTTGAAATTTTTTTTCATACAAGTCTTTGACTTGCTTGGTTAGGGTTACACCAAGGTACTTTATGTCATTTGTGGCTATTGTGAATGGTGTTGTTTCTATAATTTCTTTCTCAGCCCTTTTGTCTTTTGTATACAGGAGTGCTACTGATTTTTTTGAGTTAATTTTGTATCCGGCCACTTTGCTGAAGGTGTTTACTTCATCTTTTGAGAAACTATTCATTTCATTAGGTAATTTATTGATGAAGTTGTTTGATTTCTTGTTTAGTTTTTGAACTTCCTTTTTAAAAAATCATGTTTTCTTTCTCTTCCTCCTCCTCCTCCTCCTCCTCCTCCTCCTCCTCCTCCTCCTCCTCCTCCTCTTCTTCTTCTTCTTCTTCTTCTTCTTCTTCTTCTTCTTCTTCTTCTTCTTCTTCTCCTTCTTCTTCTTCTTCTTCTTCTTCTTCTTCTTCTTCTTCTTCTTCTTCTTCTTCTTCTTCTTCTTCTTCTTCTTCTTCTTCTTCTTCTTCACAATTTATTCATCACCAGGGGATCAAAGCAGATGCAGAGACAGCCAAACTTTGGACAGAGCCCAGGGAATCTTATGGAAGAAAGGGGATATAGAAAGACCTGGAGGGAACAGGAGTCTCACAAGGAGACCAACAAAGCCAACAAATCTGGGTCCAGGGGGACTGCTGAGACTGATGTATCAACCAAAGTCCATGCATGCATAGAGAGAACCTAAGACCCCCTTCTCAGATGTAGCCTATAAACAGCTCAGTCTCCATGTGGGTTTCCTAGTAAGGGGACAAGAGACAATCTCTGACATGAACCCGGTTGCCTGCTCCTTGATCACTTCTGCCTGGTGGGGTGACCTAGCCAGCCCACAGAGGAAGAGGATCCAGCTTGTCTTGGTGGGACCTGAGAGGCTAGGGTCAAACAGTAGAGGAGGAGGACTTCCCCTATCAGTGGACTATGGGAGAGCTATTGGGGAGAAAGAAAGGAGGAGGATTGGACTGGGAGGAGACGAGAGAGGGGGCTATAATCAGGATACAAAGTTTTTGAACTTTTTGTGTATTCTAGATATCAATTCTCTATCTAATATGTAGTTTCATTTGCTGTGAGGTTTTTCATTTTATGAAATACCATGTGCCAATTGTAGGTATTATTTCCCGGAGACATGAGAAATTCCTGGCCTATGCTTATATTTCACAGGTATTGTCTTTTAACAGTTTTAGAGCTTCGGATTATATCTAGTATCTTACCGTATAGATACTTGATCCATTTGGAGTTGATTTTGTACAGACTGAGATCCATGGGTCAAGTTTTATATCCAATTTTTGTGGGCAGACTTTTTATTAGAACTTCAATCTTGTTAACTGTTATTGATGTGTTCAAGTTGCTTATGTATTCCTGATTTAATTTTGGTAGGTCATTTATGTTTAAGAATTATTCTTATCTTCTAGATTCTTCAGATTTTCTATTCCCTAATGCTTCCTTGTATTTCATTAGAATCTGAAGTAACCTTCTCCCTTTCAGCTCTAATTTTATCAGTTTAATCTCTCCTCTCTCGTGTTTGTTTGGTTAAGGAGTTATCATTTTTGGTTTCTTCCCCACTCCTAAGAAATTAACTGCTTTTTATCTACCTGACTCATTCAAGAATGTATTGTTCCATCTTCATGTATTAAATAGTTTCTGTAGTTTTTCTCATTTTTCATCTCTAGTATTATAGTACTAATATATAAGATACAAGGGATTATTTAATCTCTTATGTATTTGATCTATTGTAATAAAGTTTCAATAGGCCCCTGAGAAGAACGTGCACTCTGTTGCTTTTGGATGGAATATTCCGTAAATATATGGTAAGTCCATTTGATCTGTGGTATAGTTTAACTCTGAGTTTTGTTGTTGTTGTTTTTGTTGTTGATATTTAGTTTGGAAGACTTGTCCAGAGATGAAAGTAGTATATTGAAACAACATATTATTACTTTATCAGGTCTTTTCTGATGTTTTATGTCCATTACTGCTTCTTCTTCTTCTTCTCCTCCACCCCCTCCTCCTTTTTTTTAAACCAAAATGGAAACCTCAGTATTTTTTGTATCTTCATTGACAAGTGTTATGTATTGTTTATGTTAGTTAAATATTTTTTGTGAAAATTTCATACACAAGTATTTGTCTCTTTTCTACTTAGCCCTTTCCAAACCAACCATATATACAACCTACTAAATCCAATTACTATTTTATGTATGCATATGTATTTAAAACTCAGGATTGGGAACTTGTCCCTGAATAAAATTGATTCTTTTCCCTAGCACAGCAGGCATTTACTGCCTGTAGCTCTTCATCTAGTAGCAGTTCTCTCTGAATATTTTCTTCATCCTTGTAGGCATGTCAATGGGTGTGATCTTTGAAGGTCTGGTACAAGCAACTATATCATTGAGAGTTTATAGGTGCAGCATTCCTGTCATGTAAAAGCACAATGTCTCACAGCAGTTGTCCCTGTCCCCAAACTTTTACAATCTTTTTATGGCCTCTTCCTCGATGTTCCCTGAGAATTAGGTGTTGTATTATAGATGTTCATTATGAGATGGGGCATCGCTTGCTTACTTACTCTGTGTATCTTGACAGGTTGTGGATTTCTCTAATGGTCTCCATTGTTACATAAAGAACCTTCTTTGGTTATGGTTGAGAACTGTACTTATCTATGGGGATGAGGTATTAGAAGGCAAGTGAGTCCCTGTCCAATGCAGTCTCTACTTCCTTTTCTAGAGCAGCCACATGGAGCCTAAGCTACCCATCTGCTACATCTTTGTAGGGGGCTTAGGTCTAGTTCATGCATGGTCCTTGGTTGATGCTTCAGTCTCAGCAAGCCCCTCTGGGCCCTGGTTAGATGGCTCTGTTGGTCTTCTTGTGGAGCTCCTGACATCTTTGGGTATTTTTCTCTTTTCTCCTACTTTTCTGCTTCCTCCTGGCAGGACTGCCTTGCCAGGCCACAGGGGAAGAGAAAATATACTCAGTCCTGATGCAACTTGATGAGCTGAGGTAAATGGGAAAGGGAGCTCTCCTTTTCTGACAAAAAAAGGGAGTAGGGAGGAGGGAAAGAAGGTGGGACTGGAAAAGGAAGAGGAATGGGGCTACAACAAGAATATAAAGTGAATTTAATTAATTAATTAATTAATAAAAACAAATAAGGAAAAAGAAAAAAGCTATTAGAAAGCAATTGGAAACTATATTAATTCAGCACAATAGTAGTTATAAGTTCTCCTCTAGGGTTATATCTTCTTGGAGAATTTTTGCTTTCAGTGTCTTTCTTTATCTCCCACAATTTGGCTTTACACAAACTTTGTTTTGGATTCTGTTCACGTGATAGGTTATTTTCCATCCTTTGATTCCCAGTATGTCAATGTCCATTTGGTTTATGATATAGTTAAACTCTGAAATTTCTTTGTTGGTTTTTATTTTGAATGACCTCTCTAGACATGAGAATGAGATATTAAAAAATATGGAATTCTTTATGAATTTGTCCATCATTATTGTGCAGGAGCAATGCTAATATTCTCTGTCTGTATGCTGTAGTAGCAAGCACTAGAAACAAACCAGTTTCTCCATCTGTGGGTTGTGACCCTATATGGGGTCATGCAGCTAACTGTGGAGGTTGTGAAAAGTTTGTCAATGATAAAAGTTTTCTGAATGCATAATAACCAAGATCAATTCGAAGTTAAGTGTGCTGTGATCTGAGGTGTTTGGGGCTGCATTACAGAACTTCACTGCAGCCTGGGGTCAGAACTGATAACATACATTTTATGCTGTTCATGATGTTATGTCATACAATGTGCATGAGCACAGCTGAGCTCAGATTCAAGACTATTGCATTTTGTGAACAGTAAAATGTACCTACAAATTTTCTACTCTTGGAGAAACATGATGATTTAATTACATGAATCAAAGACTTTTAATACTTTCCCACTGTCATTACTCAGCATGTAAGTATCAAATTAGTATATATTTCAATTGGGTTGTGTTTGATTTTAAAATTACTGTTTGAGCTGAAGACTTGAGTTTCATTAAAAAAAGGGTTAAATGAATTTTGGTTTGAGATTAGAAGAGAATTTCCAACAATTACTGAACTGTCCCTAAACATACAATTGTCATTCTAGATATTTATATGAATGGCATTTTCAGTACTGATAATTATAAAATCAAAATATTGATCAACTCTAAAAAACATAGATGGTGTTCTGCATCTTAATATCACAGATCCACTGAAGATATAATTCTTAACAGCAAAACAAGCCAGCATATTTGTTTCTTTTCATGTTTAATAAATGGTAAAATTATATGTATGCCAAAGACTTTTTGAATCAAATTTCTATATGATTTATACTTTAATAAGTGGTTGATTTGTCTGCTTATTTTATAATCTTATGTACCTTGGGTCACGTAAGAATTTTGGGGGTCAAAAGGACTTTTGTGTGGGAATCGTTTCATGTTTTAGAGAAGTCTTCTGGGCTCATTCTGGGTCAAGAAGGCAGATAGGTCTGGTTTTGCTTGGGAATATAAACAACAAGCCTTTGCAACATTGCTTCTAAGGGAAAACACACCCAGAGTTCCAAGTAACAGAGATACATGCTTCTTAAAACAAGCGCAGTGCCTGAGTTTGGAACATCCTGTTGTAGAAGCCTAACAGTTTCCTCCTGCTTTCCTTAGTAGGGTCATCCATTGCTGAATCTTGTTCTGTATATTTTACTACATCACTTAGAAAAATTTCTTCCCTGAAATCATATCAGAACAACTGTCCATATATCCATCAACATGTTCAGCTGATTCTTTGAATAAAATATTCATTTAATATGTTGCTGATACAGTGTTTTAAAGAATATCTACTCTATAGCTATACTTCTACTTGCTAAGAACTTATTTGCACTGATAACCTACAGTTTTTAAGTATGTATTAAATGAATAGAGCAAAATTTTTCTTTCTGGTATTCCTATACAGTATATTTTGGATCATTTTCATCACCGCTATTACTCCTTTTTATTAATTAAAATTTTTCTTTCACAATTTCATACATGCACATCATACATTATGACCACATACATTCTCCCATTTCTGTACCACTCTTGCCTAATTTCCCCTTCCCTAGAAATCTCTCTCATGTTCATATTCATCTTCATGTTTTGAGACCCACTAAGTTTAATGAAGGCCATCTGTGTGACCATGAATCTGGAGTTATGTATTGGGGTCAGTGGGCTCAAAAGTCATTATAGAATTCAAGATGGTGATGTCCCTTCAAGAATATATTAATAACTAACAGTTCAGCAGTAAAAGGCAGGGAGAGCTATTACTCTTTCCTATCCTCTTCTTTTCCCCCTCTGCAATCCCAGCAGTCTCCTGTTTTGTTATAGCTGTGTGAAAATGAAATACAAGTTCTACTGCACTGTAAAGTTTTCTATTGAACTGTAAGGCTCAGGGCTACATTTTATTCAAGTTTGCACATCCTTTCTCTATCATAGGTTCTGAGTGGTAGACAATAAAGAATTCTTTCTTACAATGAGCTGAAACATTATTGTGCTTCATTTTGAAGTATGTTACCATGGCTCTGGCAATGAGAAACTTAACTCATTATAATTTCCTTGACTACTAAGATTAGTCAGGTTAAAAAATTAAAATTCACAATTGGTGTTTTCAGGAAGGAAAAAACCATGTGATAAAGATTGCCCACTTTTTCATCAAACCCATTTTAAGCATTTATTAAGAGAGTAAAAATCTTCATTATGATATTCCTATACATGTATGCAGTATATTTTGATTGACTGAAACATATAACTCCAGATTCATGGTCACACAGATGGCCTTCATTAAACTCACTGGGTCTCAAAGGATTAACATGAGCATGAGAGAGATTTCTCGGGAAGGGGAGCGTAGACAATAGCAGTAATAGAACCCTCCTTAGGTTCACAGAATTAATTTACCTCAGGGGGATGTGATCAAAGAGCCAGCCACTGAGTTCATGTCAGAGACAACCTCTGTTCCCCTTACTAGGGAAACCACTTGGAGACTGAGATGCCATGGGCTACATCTGTGCAGGGTTTCTATGTTATCACCATGCATGGCCCTTGTTAAATAAAAAAAAAATGTAAAAATAATAAACAACAAAAGTTTACAGACCTTGAAAAAAAGATTCTCAGCTTCATATGGAGAAACAAAAAACCCAGAATCTCCAAAACAATCCTGTACAACAACAGATCATCTGGAGGTATCTCTATCCCTGATCTCAAGTTGTACTACAGAGCAATAGTAATAAAAACTGCATGGTATTGGCATAAAAACAGAAAGGAGGATCAATGGAACCGCATAGAAGACCCAGAAATAAACCCACACACCTATGAATACTCGATTTTTGACAAAGAAGCCAAAACCATTCAATGGAAAAAAGACAGCATCTTCAACAAATGGTTGTGGTCCAACTGGATGTCCACATGCAGAAAAATGAAAATAGATCTATATTTATCACCCTGCACAAAACTAAAGTTCAAGTGGATCAAAGACCTCAACATAAAACCAGATACTCTAAATCTGTTAGAAGAAAAAGTGGGGAACAGCCTAGAACTCATTGGCACAGGAGACAACTTCCTGAACAGAACACCAACAGCACAGGCTCTAAGAGCAACAATCAATAAATGGGACCTCATGAAACTGAAAAGCTTCTGTAAAGCAAAGGACACTGTCATCAAAACAAAACGCCTGCCTACAGATTGGGAAAGAATCTTCACTAACCCTTTATCTGACAGAGGACTCATATCGAGTATATACAAAGAACTAAAGAAGCTGAAAAGCAGCAAACCAAGTAATCCAATTAAAAAATGGGGAACAGAGCTAAACAGAGAATTCTCGACAGAGGAATATCGAATGGCACAGAAACACTTAAAGAAATGCTCATCCTCATTAGCCATCAGGGAAATGCAAATCAAAACGACCCTGAGATATCACCTTACACCCATCAGAATGGCCAAGATGAAAAACTCAAGGGACAACACATGCTGGAGAGGTTGTGGAGAAAGGGGACCCCTCCTCCACTGCTCGTGGGAATGTAAACTGATACAACCACTCTGGAAATCAATCTGGCGCTTTCTAAGACAATTAGGAATAGTGCTTCCTCAAGACCCAGCTATACCACTGCTAGGTATATACCCAAAGTTTGCTCAAGTACACAAAAGGGATATTTGCTCAACCATGTTTATAGCAGCATTATTTGTAATAGCCAGAACCTGGAAACAACCCAGATGTCCATCAACGGAGGAATGGGTATAGAAATTGTGGTATTTTTACACAATGGAATACTACTCAGCAATCAAAAAGGAGGAAATCATGAAATTTACAGGCAAATGGTGGGATCTAGAAAAGATCATACTGAGTGAAATATCCCAGAAGGAGAAAGACAAACACGGTATATACTCACTTATATAGACCTATAAGATATGATAAACATAATGAAATCTACACACCTGAAAAAGATAATCAAGAGAGCGGACATGGGGTAAGATTATCAATCCTCGTTTAGAAAGACAGATGGGATGTGCATTGAACATATGACAGGAGTCTACTGAGTGCATTGAAAGACTCTAACTAGCAGTGTTTTCAAAGCAAAGACTCATGACCAAACCTTTGGCAGAGTACAGGGAATCATAAGAAAGAAGGGGAGTTAGTCTGATGAGGAAAGGATAGGAGCTCCACAAGGACCAAATATATCTGGGCACAGGGTCTTTTCTGAGACTGACATGCAACCAAGGACCATGTATGAATGTAACCTAGAACCTCTACTCAGATGTAGCCTGTGGTAGCTCAGTAACCAATTGGTTTCCCATAGTGAGGGGAACAAGGACTATTTCTAACAGGAACTCAATGACTGGCTCTTTGGCCTCCCCACCCCCCAAGGGAGGAGCAGTCCTGTTAGGCCACAGAGGAGAGCTTTGCAGCCAGTCCTGAAGATACCTGATAAAACAGGATCAGATGAATGGGGAGGAGGTCCCCCCCTATTAGTGGACTTGGCAAGGGGCACGGTGGAGATGCGGGAGGGAGGAAGGGACTGGGAGGGAATGAGGGATCGGGACACGGCTGGGATACAGAGTTAATAAAATGTAACTGATAAGAAAAAAATAAAATTAAAAAAAAAGTTAGATGGAAGGGAATGCATAATTGTTTCAATTTATCTATTATGTCAACGTATTTCTGGGGAAATGTTTTTAAAATATCAGTATATAAAAAATATTTATTAAGGGTATGATACTATTTTCAATTTTTGTGTATTTATCATTAATAATATTCAAACTATTAATTTTTTAAAAAAGAATGCATTTACCAAGACATCTCTAGCCGAACGTAGCTTATATTCCAGGGGATGGATTCAGATAAACTTTTCATTGTTCTCTCTCTATTGAGTTTGGTTGAGTCTGAACGACTATGGTGCCTAGGAGAAGGCAAAGACTCAAGTTGGAAGGCTATTTAATCAGGAACACTCATTTTGAATTGCATATGAGAAAGCAGTTAACTTCTATTGAATTCAGCCTCTAAGACTGAAGAAGGCCTGGTCACCCAAACTA